AGTGTCCTCTGTAGACAGCTGAATTGTGGGATTGCTGTGTCTGTTGTGGGATCAGACTGGTTTGGAGAGGGAAGTGATGAAATCTGGGCTGATATGTTTGATTGTGACGGGAATGAAACAAAACTCTCAGAATGTTCCATCTCTTCATGGAGTCGAGCTGAATGTTCTCATAGACGAGATATTGGAGTCATCTGCTCTAGTAAGTCCATATTACTAGAACATTTACTGACATTATGCTACTGGAAGACTTAATCTTATACAAAATACTATATGTGTTCCCTATAAATTTCAGACTGAAGATTAATGCTTGCGTCATTTAAGTTTTGAATTTACTTGTATAAAATTTAATATTGATATAAAGCATATTTATTATATAAATATTCCTCTGTGGTCTTTAACACATTTACAGTATTTTAGTAAAATGTCAAATCTTTCACTCAGATTCCTCTCTGGCTCTTCATGATGGTCTGGTGCGGTTATCTGGAGAGAGACAGTGTGAGGGGGAGGTGGAAGTTTTCATCCATCAGGTCTGGAGGAGAGTTCTGCTGGACTCCTGGAGTCTCACTGAATCCTCTGTGGTCTGCAGACAGCTGGGCTGTGGCTCTGTGCTGAACTTCTACGGCTCCTCTTCATCCAGTCCTGAACACAGTCATGAGTGTGTGACGGGCTTCCAGTGCTCTGGGAGTGAAGCTCATCTGGGGAACTGCAGCTCTCCACAAACTCTCTACTGCAGCTCCACACAACAGCTATCAATCACCTGCCTTGGTGAGAAGAACAACATCTGGGCAGATTCTTCAGTTGTTTGTGATCAATAATGTGTTTTTCTTTCTCTGAATATCAGGCCGCGGGTCCATCAGGCTGGTGGGTTCTGGGGGAGACTGTGCAGGGAGGCTGGAGGTTTTTCACAGCGGCTCATGGGGGACAGTGTGTGGCGACTCCTGGGATATTAAAGATGCTCATGTGGTGTGCAGACAGCTGCAGTGTGGAGTGGCCCTCAGTAACCAGCAGGTACCAGCCTGGTTTGGTCCTGGTTCTGGACCCATATGGCTGGATGAGGTGGAGTGTGAGGGGAATGAGACGTCCCTGTGGAGCTGCTCTTTTCCAGGCTGGGGAAAACATGACTGTCAACACAAGGAGGATGTGGGAGTCGTGTGCTCAGGTAAACAATAATGCTGTGTTTATTTAAATTATACTTAAAATTAATATAAAGGTTTTAGAAATAACCTTTTAACACATTCAGAAATCCATAATGCCCAGGTTTTTAAATTTTGGTATTTTAAAATTATATTTTTAATTTCCATCTAGAGTTTAAAGAGATCAGGTTAAGTGAGGGCTGTGAAGGGAATGTGGAGGTTTTCTACAATGGATCCTGGGGTAATGTGTGCTGGAACCAGATGGATGGAGACACAGCGAGTCTGATCTGTCAAGAGCTGAACTGTGGAAGGTCTGGTGTTTTGTCTGATTCTACAGCAAGAGTGAAATCAGCTCCTAACTGGCTGGATAAAGTAATGTGTCGACCACATGATTCATATCTGTGGCAGTGTCCATCTTTACCCTGGGGATAGAATGACTGTAATAATAAGGATGAAGTTGCCAAAATCACCTGCTCAAGTGAGATGATATTTAAATAATGTAAAATGGTCTCAGTAGTCATGTTTCTTTAAGCACAATGTTTATATGTCGTGAGTAAACTAATGTTTAAGAAAAGTTAAACTTAGCTGATGGAAAGAGCATAAAATTATTTGTGAGTGTAAGGTCCACGCACTTGGCCCAAGGAAGGTATCCAGTGGTGGAAGAAGGTTTCTTGCGTGTTCGGTCTTTTCAGAGCGCAGAGTTATTCAATTTAGGTTTAACTCAAATCTGACTCCAGCGGTTATGACCAGTAGTTAAAGCTCAAAACAATAATCAGTGGTTCTGCTAGAACCCTTTGTCTAGCCCCCGATAGTTAATATAACTACGTACAACTTAATTACAGTCGAGACAATAACCAGCGGTTATGACCAGTAGTTAAAGCTCAAAACAATAATCAGTGGTTCTGCTAGAACCCTTTGTCTAGCCCCCGATAGTTAATATAACTACGTACAACTTAATTACAGTCGAGACAATAACCAGCGGTTATGACCAGTAGTTAAAGCTCAAAACAATAATCAGTGGTTCTGCTAGAACCCTTTGTCTAGCCCCCGATAGTTAATATAACTACGTACAACTTAATTACAGTCGAGACAATAACCAGCGGTTATGACCAGTAGTTAAAGCTCAAAACAATAATCAGTGGTTCTGCTAGAACCCTTTGTCTAGCCCCCGATAGTTAATATAACTACGTACAACTTAATTACAGTCGAGACAATAACCAGCGGTTATGACCAGTAGTTAAAGCTCAAAACGATAATCAGTGGTTCTGCTAGAACCCTTTGTCTAGCCCCCGATAGTTAATATAACTACGTACAACTTAATTAAAGTTGAGACGATAACCAACGGTTATGACCAGTAGTTAAAGCTCAAAACAATAATCAGTGGTTC